TAGACACCCTAAAGGCCCAGAACAGCAACTGGGTTGAAAAGGGGTGGGAAGCAGGGGGAAGTCTTGCCATTTTACGCTGGAGGCAGAAAAAAGGCCACCTTCAGTTTAAACAGGTCTGATACTTTGGGGTGAAAAGGCTACACTTCATCTCTAGTTGGGTAACTGCCCCTCGCTGGGACAAATGCCCCATGGCATTCACTCCATGATACTGAAATCGGCCATGGATAAAATGATTGGAACTCTTTAAAAAGCACAAGGTATGCACACACAGAAAACTAAACCAGACACAGGGGAAAAGGAAGCTAAGCTCAACAGCCAAAAGCAAAAAAGCAAAAACCCAGACTAATGAACAAGATCACAGGAGGCACAATTCTAAATGAACATGGTGCAGCAGAACTGGTCTCATTTCAACGGAGTCCTAATACACTCCTGTGGCATCAGAGGTGGGCGGGCCTGCACTCGATGACAGAAGCAGACCCAACCCTGGCAACACGGAATGAGCAGAACTACACAGATGTATCCATGCTGTACAGCTCTCGGCTGTCTTCCTCACTCATTTCCTTATGCACGACAACATGGCTTTCAGCCTGGTGGTTCTTAATCCACTGGGCTGGGTTCTAGCAATGAGGAAAAAACCTCCTTCCATTTGGAAGGATAGTAGCTCCTTCCAAAGAATCATCTGGACACATCTGTGACCACATACGAAAGACTCCATGAAGCACTTGCTGCATGCTGAGTACCAGGCTGGATCAAGCTGGAAATGACTAACTGCGTTCTCTACGTCATTTTTACTGTTGACCTCACCATTGTCACTGTTAAAAGCTACCTGCCAGGTGACCTTCATGGTACAGAGGAATTATATTGAAGGGTAGATGTGAAATAAAACCTAACCTCATCCTGCAAGTTAGATATACACCATCTCACTCAATGTCCTGCAAAGCCCCAAATCTACTAATACATATGTGAAGACCACAGAGGCTTAATACTTTAATGGAGCAGACGAAATGGCCTCGGAACACTACAGAACTCGTTCTTGACTCACCTGAACCTTCATTTTCAGTTCCTGACTGAACTGTTATCTTAAAGGCCTGAATATTCAGTGTCTGCATTTATAGATTTTTATTTGTTTCTCTAGTAAAGCTCACAACATAAGAATCATTTTCCCTTGCTGACACGACACTGCCCTGTTCAGGGGACTTCAGGGATTTTCCGGGCTAATTACTTCTGTTTTTACTTGACACCCGTGTAGAATGCAATGCCACTCTTCATGCATGCATCCCATCACTTAACCCTAACAAGCCTAGCAGACATGACCAGTGCGCAGAGAGACAGGTGGCATGGCTTAAATTATAAACCTCCCAAGCCTATGTTACCACCGATGCTATACTTGCCATCAAGTTCAAAAGATCAGATCAGTGTCACGGTGCTACGTGGCTTACTATCTTCATGGTCGTCAGAATCAAGTCAGCTCTCTAAACAAATGGCTATTTTACAATTTCTAAACACATTAACTCTCCACAGGTAGTGACCATTCATAGAAGAGAAGCCAAACACTGGAATCATATTTCATGGACTATAACTTTTTTTTTTTTGAGCTGGAGTCTCACTCTTACCCAGGCTGGAGTGCAGTGGTACACTCACGGCCACCCCAGCATCCATCTGCGGGGCTCTGGTGATCCTTCTGCCTCAGCCTTCCAAGTAGTAGGAACAACAGGCACGCGCTACCATGCCCGGCTAATTTTTTATTTATTGTAGAGATGAGGTGTTGCCAAGTTGCCGGGGGCTGGTCTCGAACCTGCGGGCTCAGGCAATCCTCTTGCTTCAGCCTCGCAAAGTGCTGGGATTACAGGCTAAATCACCGAGCCTGGCCTATAACTTTCTAATAATACTCACTGGGTTTGAGATCAGCTAGGCAACATAGTGAGACCTCGTCTCTACAAAAAAAATTTTAAAATTAGCCAGATATAATGGTGTGCACCCGTCATCCCAGCTACTCGGGAGGCTGAGGTAGGAGGATCGCTTGAGCCCAGGAGGTTGAGGCCGTGGTGAGCCTTGACCGTACCACTGCACTCCAGCTTGGGCGACCGAGTGCAACCTCGACTCAAAACAAACAAAAAATCTCAATGACTTTTCTTCTTGTAAGTACTGTCTTTGTAAGACTAAGTACCAATATTGAAACACGGTAATATAAGAGTCAAAATCAGGAGGCAGGAGCTGAGTTTGTACTTTCCAACCTAAGCTGCTAGGAAACACTGCCTCCCGAGGGACTTTCATTTCTAAAATGACAACAAAGACTTGGAGGGAGGAGGAGCTAACAAAAATTCAGTAGAAGAGGAGGAAGGGGGTTTTGTCCCAAATCATCTAAAAGCTCTGCCCTTGTGGGTCTTCACGGTAATTAAGAGCTTAGAAAAACTCCAGCACGTTGCTTTCTTCTTTAAAAGTGTGGCCTAAAAGTTTGTTAATTGTGTCTGTGGGGTTATCCTATTGATTTCAGGATTACAATTACAAAAGAGAATTCTGAATTAACTCTTTTCCTCTTTCTTTTTTAAACAACTTTTACCATTTTGTTTGATTTTAACTTTGCTTCAGTTAAACTGGATTTCAGTTAAACAAGATTTTAACTTGGCTGTAAATGATGACACAGAAGGCAGGTCTTTCCTAAAGTTTCAGTCATCATAATTCCATTGGACTTCTATCCCAGGGAACCTACCATATCCTGGGGAAAGGGTCACAATGGTTCCAACAATATGAAGCTGCTGCTTTTGTGGAAGGAAGATATTTAAACTTGTGATCTTCATTTGTTGTTTCCTTTCTCATTACCATAAACCTATCACCTCAGCTATGAAGGAGAATTTTACAGTCTCAACTTTTCTAGAAAAGAGTGTCAACTGATTTGAACTCTTCAGAAACAAATTTAGGAGGGAAACAGACTCACAGGGTGACTAATGGAAATCTCCTCTAAGTCCTGTTTAACAAGAACTTTTAACTGAGCAGAAGTTGCATCCCCTAACTCGCGACTTGACTTATGAACAAAAGGCACAAGATGGCCAGGCATGGTGGCTCATGCCTATAATCTCAGCCTCTGGGAGACCAAGGTGAGAGGATTGCTTGAGCCTGGGAGTTTGAGACCAGCCCGAGTGACTCAGCAAGACCAAGACCTCGCCTCTACAAAAAATATTTTAAAATTACCTGGGCATGGTGGTGAGCCCCTGTAGTCCCAGCTACTGGGGAGGTTGAGGCAGAAGGACTGCCTGAGGCCAGGAGGTTGAGGCTGCGGTGAGCCGTGATTGTGCCAGTACATTCCAACCTGAGTGACAGTGAGACCGCGACTCAAAAAAATAAAAACAAAAACCACCAAACCAAAAAAGCCTGGGCACAGATGAAAGCTATTTTTTGTAGAGATGAGGTCTCACCAAGTTGCCCAGACTGGTCTCGAACCTGTGGGCTCAGGCAATCCTCTTACCTCAGCCTTCTAAAGCGCTGGGATTACAGGCGTGAGCCACTGTGCCCAGTTAGATGAAAACTTTTAAGGAAATTAAAAACAAAATGGCTCTAGAGTTAAATAAATGACACAAAAGGCACCGTTCTTAAAGCAGACTAGTTGACGAGAGTACCATGAAGCTGCAAAAAGAATGCTTAATAAATGCCTGTAATCAAAACCAATGCCTGACATTCAAAAGGCAACGCATATTGGAAAATTTGATTCTTTGCTTCAGGGTTTTTTTTTTTTTGAGTTGGAGTCTCACTCCATCACCCAGACTGGAGTGCAGTGGCTGCTCCGGGCCACCGCAGCCTCGGCCTGCTGGGCACCGGCGATCCTTCTGCCTCAGCCTTCCGAGCAGCCAGAACTACAGGCACACACTACCACGCCCAGCTGATTTTTTGATTTATTGTAGAGATGAGGTCTCGCCAAGTTGCCCAGGCGGGTCTCGAACCCGCCGGCTCAGGCAATCCACTCACCTCAGCCTCCCAAAGCGCTGGGATTACAGGCTGAGCCACCGAGCCCGGCTTGCTTCAGGTTCTTTAAAAACCTTCCAGGATAGCAACCCATGACGACACATCCCTCGTGTGTAATTCTACTTCAGAATTTTGTGATTATGAAGACATACCAAGGGAGAATCACTTTTAATGAAAAAGAAAGCTGCTCTCTGCCAATATAAATGACTTATTATGTCATCAGCTCCTTACCATATTACAAGATACTCCCTGATTAAAATGACCTAGCTCCATCACCCTCCTAAAAAAAGGTGGCTGGAAATCTGATGCCCACAATGAAAAGGGAAGTAACTAGAAGGAAGAAATCAATCCAGCGGCACAAGTGGGAGCACCTACCAAAAACAGCCTAGAAAAAGTACAATGGGCACGTGTTTTGAGTCTACATATTTGCCTCACAATCTGGGACAGCCCATACGGCTGAATCCAAACTAACACACGATCACAAGAAAGTACATGTGGCCATTTATATACTCGGTAAACATAACATTTCTTATTCTCAAGTCAAACCTTCTTCTATAATGTGAAAATAATCCCCAAACAAGGAAAAAGCCCATGAAATATAGTTTAGACCAGTTCACTGTTGTCCCCCAAAACAATACGACATTAAGCTACCATGTCACAAATGACTCAATTCCACCACGTCAAAACAAATGATCTGCACTGTCTGTGACAGTTTAATAACTGTAGACAAGTCTGCTGTCCTGGGCTTTACACTGTAGTCACTATGTTAAGGATGTCTGTGCTGATTACCCGTGGAGAAAAAGCATTTCTAATGTTGTCTTCCCACCTATAAAGGCTCATGAGGTGACAACAGCGGGCGAAGATAAGCCAAGGACAGTGGGGCACTTCCGAGGTCGGCACCCTAGGTTTTAAATAACACAATCGTTTCAAAGTGGCAAAATGGACTTGTGCCTACGGAGAAAAATGTATAAAAGAAACCGCTCACAAAGGACCCCATCTACATATTAAACAGCATCAGCTACAGCAAAGGAACCAAGACTCACGTGAGGGGAATAGCGTTGGCTTTTGATTGTCTTCTGCTTTTCAGGGCCCGAAGTCTGTCACCTTGTGTCACTCCATTGATTTCGTCATCATCACTGTACTGTATAAGTAAAACAACACTGAGCTAATGATTTAAGTTGCACGCACTAATGCAGAACAGCACAGCAGCTACTTATCCACGTAAGCACATACATACAGACCCTTCAAATCCTGGCGAACTCTATAATGTTTTTTTCCTTTCAAAAATCAAGTTACAGGTCATATTTCAAGACCGCCAAAGCTGGATTTCAGAGAACCAGAACCCAGTTGTACTTTCATCATGAAACATAGTGACAGCGAAGAGGTATGCTGGCCTTTCAATTCTGAAAAAACACTCTTTAAAATTTCACAACCGAGTTGTGCACGGTAGCTCACAGCTGTAATCCCAGCACTTTGGGAGGCAGAGATGGGAGGACAGCTCGAGCCCAGGAGTCGGGGACCAGTCTAGGCAACATAGCAGACCCGACCTCTACAAAAAAAATCAAAAACATTAGCCAGGTGTGATAGCATGTACCTGTAGTCCCAGCTACTTGAAATACTAAGGCAGAAGGATTGTTTGAATTTAGGAGGCTGTGGTGAGCCATGATCATGCCATTACACTACAGCTGGGTAACAGAGTGAGACTCCCAACTCAAAAAAATAAAAAAATTCACAATCCACTTACCATCACTCATTAGTACCACCACCCCCTAAGCCCTTGGTTCTGTAAAAGTTCTCCATCTGAGAACAACTGGTTCCCTAAATCGGCTATCACTAAACAGGGAGAGGGGTGAGGGCAAGAAAGCAACTAAATCCGCCGAGAGCTCACTTCCCAGTCCTCTTTTGCCCATCCGTACCTAGTAAGTAAAGAAAACTTCAGTTTTATGGACACACAAACTTATGTTATTTTCAGTAAAAAGGTCTTAGAGAGGGTTATAAATATAATATAAAAACCTGTGTGACGATCATCCCTCAGAAGGTACTTTATTACTTTTAACTACATTTTTCTCCATGCCCCGAGAGGTCTCAACAGCAGCCAAAGCAGTAACAACAGCATGACCGGATGGTGTGATTACCGGTTCGGGTTCCTGCTGGTCCTGATTCTCCACCCCATGTATCGAAATGTCATCAACACCAGAGAGGAGTTTGGAGAAGGCCGCTCCGTGCTGTCCATTCTCCTGCCCTCTTAACTTCTGACGGAAATAGTCACCTTCCAGCCAGAGGCTTGTTTGCTTCCTAGAGCATTTAAATAACATCAAAAAAACTGCTTTCCAGGAGGACATACAAACAACTTCTTTCTACCAGACTATCTGTTGTTCCTGGAGACTACGAAAAACTCCACTGCCCATCAGTTTCCAGACCCACATGTTCCCCGTGGACTCACAGCAGCTTTCTGTCTACTTACATCACCAAAAATTGTTGCTGAGGTCCAATCACTGAGCCTGGCCTGCAGATCCTGACCCACGCAATGGTCTCTGCTGCTGTCATCCTATAATGCTTCATGATGTAGCAGGCGATCAGAGTGCCCGTGCGACCGAGGCCAGCTAGGAAAAGAAACACAGCAATGAAATCTAGGCTCACGTACACCAGGATTTTGTTGAGCAGTTTTTAAAGGCTTCCCTTTGTTCTGCTTCTCTCAACAGTGGTTCTCAAGGCTGGCTACATGCTGGAATCGCCCGGGGAGTTTTAAAAAGTACTGAGGTGAGCCATACAGTGACTCACAGTACCTCCTGTAGCTCACACTTGTATTCCCAGTACTTTAGGAGGCCAAGGCAGAAGGACTGCTTGAGGCCAGGAGTTCGAGACCAACCTGGGCAACATGGTGAGACCCCCCTCATCTCTATAAAAAAATTGTTTTTAATTAGCCAGGTGTGGTGGTGTAACATCTATAGTCCCAGCTACTCAGGAGGCTGAGATGGGAAAACTGCTTGAGCCCAAAAATTCGAGGTTGCAGTGAGTTATGCTTGTACCACTGCATTCCAGCCTGGGCAACATAGCAAGGCCCCACTCAAAAATGTGTGTGTGTGTGTGTGTGTGTGTGTGCGTGCGCACATCCAGAACTCAGATTTAATTGGTATGCACTCTGGATACAGAGACTTCTAAAATCCCTCATATGGCTCTATGCGTAGCCAAGGTATTTTGGAAAGATGGTACCACCGCCTTTCCAAAAACAAAGGCTTGAAATCTTGCACTTACTCCCAGATCCAACAGAATTACCTTCTGTATGGTTATACCCATTCTCATGTGCAATTTTTTTTTAACCCTATTGGTGCTGTCCTCCTTTCCTCTTATCGAGACTATTATCATTACCACCTATAGATGAGCAATCTTAGGCATCAGTTTGGAGGAGGTTTTTAGAAGAGACTACTGTTTAGATTGGTGAGCTTTCAGGAGAACACTGCCCTCCATGACGTGGGTGGGCCTTATTCAATCAGCTGAGAGCCTAAACAGGACAAAGACAGGCTTTCTCTGAGCAAGATGAAATTCTCCAGCAGACTGCCTCAGACCTCATCTGTACTGTCAGCTCTGCTGAGTCTCCAGCAGCCCACACTACATATCTTGAACTCACTAGGATCCGTATTTGCATGAGCCAATCCTTCTTAATAAATGTCCTATATATTGCTGGGTGTGGTGGCTCATGCCTCTAAGCCCAGCACTTTGGGACGTGGAGGTAAGAGGACTGCCTAAGTCCAGGGGTTCCAGACCAGCCTGGGCAACTTGCTGAGACCTCGTCTCTACAACAAATTAAAAAATTAGCCAGGCGTGGGGGCATGCATCCCTACTTTCAGCTACTTGGAAGGTTGAGGCAGGATTGCCTGAGCCCAGCAGGTTGAGGTTGCAGTGGCCATGATTGTGCCACTGCACTCCAGCCTGTGCGCCACAGAGTAAGACCCCGACTTAAAAAAACACAAAAAGTCCCTTATGCTTACATGCATCTTCTTGGTTTTAACTGGAGAATCCTCACTACCACAGATTTGGATAATAAAGCTGGGTTCCGCTGTAACAAATCCTTAAAAGTGGAGAAGTCTCTTTGGAATTGGAATTGCAGAGGCTTGAAGAGACTTCATGCACACAACAGAAAAAGCCTAGATGGCCTTGAAGGGACTGCTGGCAGGAATATGGACACTAAAGGTGATTCTGGCGCAATCTTGGATGGAAATGAGAGACCAGTCACTGGAAACTGGAGGAAAGGCCATCTTTGTTATAAAGTGGCAAAGAAACTGACTGCACCGTGTCCTATATTTTGTGGAAGGCAGAATTTGTGAGTGACAACCTTGGATATTTGGCAAAGGAGATTTGTGAGAAAAGTGTGGAAGGTACCACCTGGTTTCTCTTTAGTGACGGCAAACGCAAAAGGAGAGAAAGGAATGAAGGAGGAATTGTTAAGCAAACCAGAAACTAAAGACCTAGAAAACTCAGCCTATACACACTCTAACAAATGAGAACGCAATCCCTGGAGAGAACATCAAAGATATGGCAATCACTCCAGAGAGACATTACCCACGGATTTAAGCCGCCATCTCAGCAGAAGCCAGGAACGGAGGGAGGATTATGGCAGAAAAGACACTGCCACTTTGGACTAAAGAGAACAGGCATGAAATAAATCAGGGAAGGCTGTCAGACTTCTGGCAGTAGAGCTATTGGAGAGAAACAGGTTTCGCCTTACAAGAAAAGGACGAATGACCACAGGGACAACTCAGAGATCCACGGGCTGCCACTGCCAGCGAGACACAGAGCCAGGGGACAGAGTTGTCAAGTCATCAATTTCAGAGTGAGGACAAGGCTGTCTACTCCTCAGCTGACAGGGTGGAGCCACCTCCGCTTCCCCTAACCATGGCCTCAGGGGCAAAGCCACCACCCAAGGGGTCCTGGAGGGCAGCACACCAAGCCAAAGAAGAGAATTCTCTGCCTGAACACCTAATGGCGTTTGTCTTGCTATGTTTTGGACTTGTCTGAAAGCCCTGAGGCTCTTCTCGCTGATTTCTCCCTTTCGGAATGGGAATGTCTTTCCTATGCCTGTCCCACCACTGTGTCCTGGAAGCACATCAACTAGTCTGGTCTCACAGGCTCACAACTGAGGAGGCATTTTGCCTCGGGTGGATCACACCTCAAGCCTCACCTACACTGATTTACATGATTTAGACGTGATTCTGAACTTGGAGTTGATGCTAGAATAAATGGAGACTTTCAGAGCTGTTGCGATGTGGTGAATGCTTTTCAGTGTGACAAGGACACAGATTTGGGAGACCAGAGAGCAGAAGATTATAGACAGAATTGTGTCCCCCAACCCAATCCCTATGTTCGTATTCTAACTCCCAGTGTGACTATTTGGAGACAGAGCCTTTAATGGGGGAAATAAGTTATAAAGATGGGGCCCTAATCCAAGGGAACTGATGTCCCTCTAAGAAAAGGAAGAGACACCAAAGTAAATGCACACAGAGGACAAACCACGTGAGGACACAGAGAACACAACTATCTGTAAGCTGGGAAGAAAGGCTTCACCAGAAAATAACCTTGCCAGTCCTTTAATCTTGGACTTCTTGCCTCCAGAACTGTGAGAAAATTAATTTCTGTTGTTTAAGCCACCCAGTCTGTGGCACGCCTCAGCAGATTAATATTCCTCCTAATGAATCTCAATTTTCACTGCATAATCCAATTTTCACACTGTCATCATTTTTCTTCCCCAAAACAAAGATCTAATCATATCAAATCCTCTTTAGGCTTTCGATTGGTCATCTGTCTATTTCAGGGTTTCTCAGCCTCTGCAGCATTAACATTTGGTGCTGAACAGTTATCTGCTATGGGGGCTGGCCTGTGAACTGCAGAATATCCAGAGGCACCCCTGACCTCTACTCCACCTACTGGGTGCCAGTAGTACCCCTGCCAATTTGTAAAAACCAAAAATGTCTCCAGACATTTGCCATGTGTCCCCTGATAGGACGGAAGCACCCTGGCTGAGTAACTTCAACTGCTGATTATAACCAAAAAACAAACAAAGACAAAAAACAAACCACTGTTGGATTCTCTTAATTATTTTTTAAAACTGGGGTGAAATACACATAAAATTTGCCATTTCTTCCCATGTGATTTTCCTGATTTCATTGAGTTGTCTAAGTTCTCTTAATTCACTGAGCATCTTGAAGAACATCATCTCAAATTCTATCTCAGGTAACACAGAGACCTGCATTTCTTTAGGACTGTTTTCTAGAAATCATTTTAACCATATTTACATGTATAGTTCAGTAGCATTAAGTACATCTACACCAATGTGCAACCATTACTGCCATGTATCTCCAGAATATATTTTCTCTTGCAAAACTGAAGCTCTGTACCCAATAAAAACTCTCAATCCCTGCCCCTCCACAGTTCATGGCAACCCACCATTCCACTTTCTCTTACTATGTATAAATCCGAATACCTTGAGTACATCATGAGTGGATTCATATAATATCTGTCCTTATCTGGCTAGTAGACTTCACCTAGCTTAACAGCTTCATATATCATCCACGTTGCAGCAGCATGCATTAGAATTTTCTTCATTTTTAAGGTTGTATAATATTCTGCTGTGGGTATATACAGTGCATTCTGTTTATCCATTACCACTGACGAACGCCTGCGTTGCTTCCACAGTTGGCTGCTAGGAATAATGCCGCCATAAACATGGGTGTCCCAGTATCTGCTCATAGCTCCGTTGTCAGTTCTTCTGGGGCACATACTCACAAGTGGAACTGCTGACAGCTATGTTTTTAAGTTTTTGAGGCACTGGCACACTGTTTTCTATAACAGCTGTACCATTTTATAATCCCACCAGCAGTATACAAGGGTTCTAACTTTTCTACATCCTTGCCAACACTTGTTATTTTCAGGTGAGGTTCTAAAAACTGGTAAAAGTCATCCAAACAGGTATGAAGTGGCAGTCAGGTAACTCATTATGGTTGGGCTTGCTTTTCCCCAATTTTTAGTGATGTTGAGCAACTTTTTCCTGTGCCTGTTGGCCACTTTTATATTTTCACTCAGTTGCCCAGGCTGGAAGGCAGGGGTGCGATCATAGCTCACTGCAGCCTTGAATGCTTGGTCTCAAGTGACTCTCCCACCTCAGCCTCCAGAGTAGCTAGGACTATAGGCATAGGGTTTTTTTGCATGGGATGTTTAGGGTTTTTTACATATAAATTATATCAAGTGCAGACAGAGATGATCTGCTTCACTTCAATTTTGACATGTCCAACTAAATTTTTTTTTTTTTTTTTTTGAGTTGAAGTCTCACTCTGCCAACCAAGCTGGAGTACAGTGGCATGCTGCTCACAGCCACTGCAGCCTTGACCTGCTGGGCTTAGGTGATCCTTCCACCACAGTCTTCCAAGTAGCTGAAACTATAGGCACATGCTACCACACCCAGCTTATTTTTTGATTTATTGTAGAGACGAGGTCTCACCAAGTTGCCCAGGCTGGTCTCGAACTCCTGGGCGCTCAGGCAATCCTTTCGCCTTGGCCTCCCAAAGTGCTGGGATTACAGGTTGAGCCACTGCACCCAGCCTCCAGCTAA